TAAAGGATGTTGAATAACAAAAGAAAATGTGTGATTCATGAAATAAGATCTAGATAACAACTTCTACCTGATAAGTTTGAGTATTCTTATGCCCTGTTGGCTGGATAATGTATGGATTTTACCGAGAGAAGTTACACTCCAATCACTTGTTGAATTTAAAGGGTTAATAGTGTATAGTGAATACAACTGAATTGTGGATGTACCTCTTGATGGCAAACCTTTAGCGTCAAAAGGTTTGTCGAAGGAATTGAAAATAGTGACATGAAAGTGAATTCTTGTCATGAGAATAATCCTGTGTGATTGAAGAGTAAGATGATCAGATTACCACAATATTCAAAGTTACGTAGTCAACCACAGCAAGCTTTCCTGTGGGTGAATTTGGACGAGGAAGAAGAGAGAACAGGTCTCTATATTCCTAATTCTACCACAACCAAAAGTGCAGCTCACAGGTCTAGCCGCCTCGCGTTATCCAAACTATTAATGAAGGGCTTCACGATCTCAGATAAAATTTCAGCGAGTGGTTACACTTGTTATGGGGCATTAAATCCTACGTTTACCGCGCAGCCATTTCATGTGCACAAATTTCCCCGATGTAAGTTTGAAGTTGAATGTTGGAGCCTTCTCACTGCGGTTTGTGTGTGAATTTGAACAAACTTGGATTCTCTCCACAGCAAAACTTAGAGATTCACAAGAAGATGGGAATGAGTGATGAACAACTTGAAGCGTATGAGAAGCAAGAGCGGGAGGTCTGTGTCTTAATTCCATAAGTTCTTTTGCTAACCCTACTCACAGTAAGTCTTTTCAGCATTGACTGACTGATGGAATAACTGATCGGCTGGCTGGCTAGCTGACTGGTTGACTGTCAGACTGACCAAATGATTGGCTGACTGACTGAGTGAATGAATGACTAACTGATTGGATGGCTGACTAACTGCTGAAGTGGCTGACTGGCTGACCGACTGACTGACTGGTTGACTGGCTGACTGACTAACTGATTGGGTGGTAGACTGACTGACTCGCTGACTGGCTGACTGACTAACTGATTGGGTGGCAGACTGACTAACTCACTGACTGACCGATTGAATGACTCACTGACTGGCTGACTCATACTCCACCAAGGAAACCATTTATTATTCAGAGGTGACTTTGTTGTCACATTCAAATTTATATAACGGTAAACTCGTTGGAGAGCTTTTTATCAAAGAGAAGTGAAGAGCAAACCGAAGCAACTTGTGATGGAGGAATTCGTAAATCGTGGAATTGTCAAGAGAAACGGAAACTAAACTGAAGGAAAGGATCAATTTATAACACCCATCATGGGTTCAAATCCCGTACAGGCCTGAATTTTTTTCAGGCCTTATTTTCACTACTGCCTAAGTAGTGCATATCACCGCGAGGATCACTTTCATTCATACCCATCAAGTGTGTTGAAAAGTGGCTTGCTTGAATTCAAGCTGTTTAAAGCACACTAGCTTATTATTCAAGTTGTGTCTAATTTTTTTTCTCCCTAACAGAGTAAGTACCGTGACAGAGCGAGAGAAAGAAGAGAAAAGTATGGGCAACCGGAAGCACAGAAAGTTCGGCTGCCTTCCAGGCGAAGAGGAGGAGGAGGAGGAGGAAGCATGTAAGGAGATACGAGCTTGGCTTCTTGTTGTTCATGGCTTTGTATTTAAATTTACGATTTCTTTTCTCTTTTCACAGATCGTTTGAGCCTCCAGCTGAGCGAATTGGTGGGGAAAATATTGGCAATCAGATGTTAAAGGTAATGAGGGAAAATAAGTTAAATTTTGATTACATAAAGGGGGGGGGAGGGGAGAGAGTGGGTGATTACATATTATGATGTTTGAGTTTTTAAGCGGAAGTTTAAAAGTAATTTCTTTATGAATGTTTGCAGAGTTTCTCCCTTTTCACGGAGTGATTTTACATCGTTGTCTTTTCACTTTTTGGCCCTCAGTAAAAAAAATTATTATCTGGCCATCTTTCCAAAAATAACTTTATGGCCCTGTATAAAGCATTTACTTTTTGGCAACTGTCACTAAGCAGTACTAATTTATTGTTTGTGTTGGAAATAAGGCCATGGGCTGGACTGAGGGGAGTGGCCTGGGAAGGGAAGGACAAGGCATTGTTGATCCTATCGAGGTATGTATAGTTGAGTTTATTTGTCATTTTCCTGCGTTTCTGTTTTGCCGTTAGCGTTACTTAGGATACTTAATTTGTGACAGTATAAAGTAAACTGTTACTTGTATCACTCTACTTAAGTACTTTCCTCAAGGTCAAGAGGGTAAATAGCTTCTTATTAAAGCCGATTTTTCGATGATGTACTCCTTTCTTTCACTCTTTTCTTTTCCTTTTTAGGCCAAAATGAGAAGCCAAAATGCCGGACTCGGATTGAAGGGAAGCAGTTATGGCGCATCTTCTTCAGATACTTACCAACAGAAACTTAAGAAGCTGGTATGTTTTTTTCCCCCTGACTAGTTCTGTAACTCGTGTTCTAAGGTTGTCTTTTTCCTTTGTGGGTTTGTTCGTAAGTTTTCTTGTTTGATTGTTTCTATCCTCTTCTAAGGGAATTAGATTTCAGAGTGAGTACCTCCTAGATTTGGCTCGCAACTCTCCCATGTACTAGTCATTCATTCCTTGTCAGTTACTCAGAAGAATCAGTTGTTTCATGAAGAAACTTATTGATGAATGAGTTTGAGTATTCACGGTGTTTGCTAGGTGGATAATTTATGAAACTGGCGAGGAGTTTCCTGTTTAAAGGTGAACAATAAATAGTTCTCTCTCCTCTCAACAGGCAAGGTCACGTTTTAACGATGTTTGAGGAACACTGTGATACGTCCCTTTAGAGTGACAACTGGTTCTGAACACAGAATGAGTTCATTGCAGGACTATAAATGAAAAAGAGACTAACAGGCTGAACTTTGGCCACTAGAAAAATGAGAGATATCCATCCATAGCTTAGCGAGTTTCTTAGCCATCGTTGAAGCTTTTGTCGCGTTCCAAGCAAAAAACATCAAGTTTAATCAGAAGAGCGTCTTGTTTAAGCAAGCAACAAATAACTCTAACACAAGGGTGATTGATTTCCAATTAAGAAAATTAAGACGTTCGTGGTCCAAACAAAAGAAGGTGACATTTGTTAATCCCTCAGGGATCAACCTAAGCAGCGCTCCTAGCTGCTCTGGTCGTCCTGGCGAGTGGCAAAAGGTCAAGGGGCAGGCTGTACATAACTTTTTCATTATTGAATTATATGGCCTAAAGTTAAAGTGAGATAAAAAAAAAATGTGTATGCTTCATAGTGTTCATTTTCTCCTCGTTCGTGAAAGTGGAAAGTGTGCAAGTGAGGTCAAAGTCTTTCAAAACGATCGCCAGCCATTTTCTATGAAGATTTTTTACGGGAGACCATTCTTTGATTTTCGATCGCGAAATGGCGACTTAAGAATATTCACTTTGAGCTTGGAGCACTGTTAAGTTAAAACAAATTTCTAGCCTATGATTGTGTCGCTTGAAAAGCAATTGCAATCAACCCAAACCCTAGAGAGACCTTGTATTAGATATCAGTAAAGTACCTTAGATCTGTTCATAGAGGAGGATGGAACTTTAATGAAACGTTCCGAAGTATGCTGTAGGACACTATTTACAATTTGAAATAAAAAAAAAAAAGACATAAACAACCATGTTTTGATCAGTAAGTCTTGTTTTGGCTTGCGCCTCTAACTTTTTATTTCCAATTTTTCCTATCTCACAGCAAGGGTAACCTCTCTGATCAGGTTCGCCTGGGGCCATTACTGCCTAAAATTTGTAACTACATGTACCCTTATAAAGTTGAGTTATCTTAACACTTGGGTGAGTTTGGTCAGAGATGGAGTCAAGGGTTTGTAAATTTTCACGAACTCTCCCGACCTCATAATTAAGGGAGTGTATAAACACTCAAGGAGTCTTGTAGAGCCTTTCCGAAATATTTCAAAAATACTCTTTACGTGAATTATGGCAATCGTCGAGGGAATTAAAGATTAATATCACGCAAAAGCACGAGTGATATTCGCCCTTAATTTGATGAGGAAACACTCTATTTCTCAGTTGTAATATAAAGGACAGAGAAGGTCACAGCGCTCGCTGTTACGCAATTTCATGCGGAAACCATTTCAGTGTTGAGGTAGCATCAATGGACTGTAAAACACACCAATCAGCTGACTGAAATTTTATTTTAAAACAACAACAGGAAAGCAATTAACCAGCCCTGCTGTATAAAGCATTCGCCTTGCATCAATGAAATTATAATACTCTGAGGCAAAGTTAACCCTTTTTTGTTATTTCTAATTTCAAGTCATTTTGCCAGGGGCAATTACCATAGTTAATGAAAAATGCCCTAGCTGTCTCAGCCAATCAGCATTTTGTAATTTTGCCCCCTAGGTTATAAGTACTGTAATGTCAGGATTACGACGCCTACTATTTATTCCCAGTACTTTTCGCTCGTCACGGCAAAACACGTCAAGCTACACGACTGGAATGGCGCCGTTACACGCGTTTTCCTGTTGAAGATTAGAAGCCTTATCTTTCGGTACTATAACTACTACTGTATAGATTCCCTAGGTGAGTAAAGAAAAAAGGTAAATGGAGCGTAGTGGGTGTCAAGACTGGCATTACACTTGAAGAGAAGGAATTAACAAAATGTGAAAACAGAACCAAACCAAACTAGAAAAGAGTTTGGCGAGGGGCTTAAGTATCATCCACATAACGGTGTTCTGAAGGCCAGATGAGAATTTAAGAGACCTGTGTGAAGTTGGACCTACGAGACGTGTGAAGAGGGAGAAATTATGTGTCTAAGAATCACTTTCAAGTAATTTTCCTTTGAAATGATGATAAAAAGTGAGCTGCGTTGGCTAACTACTAAACTATCACTAAACGCTGTGTTTCCCGAAATTATTGATTTGACAACCAGGGATCGAGAACCTGGTCAGCTAAAAAGATGATGTATAAAAAAATAACTACAACACTAGATCGTGTTTCTGTCATTGTGCAGATAACTTTAATACTGAACTGATGTATTTGTACTTTGCTGCTTTGAAATTGAAGTTAAACGCGGATTTCCATGAGAACAACATCCTGGGCTATGAATATAACCTCATAAAGGCTAGCGCTATCGACAGCATTCTGCACAAAAACAACGTGACATCAAAGACAACAAGACTACATAGCAGCTAGCGTGCTGATACACATCTCATTGATATCAATTACAATATTTCCTCTATCTCTCTGGGAATCTTAGGATTACATAGCAAAATTTAAGATTTCTCCTATTATAGAAGGGGATCTAAGATGTTGCATTGCCACTATTGTAAGTATGAATCTTCGCTATGAGCGCTGCGAGCTCCGCTATCAGTGATGTACAAGAGTGCAAAACTAACAAAGTAACAAAAAAGTTCAACACCCAATCCAAAACTTAACTCCATCTCATCTCCATTATCTCCCTAGTAACATGGAAATAAAGTACTTCGTCCATATCATCCAACTGCACTAAGTAGAACACAAATAACGCGATATTTGGACAGTTGATCATTTTATGTTATGTCAAAAAACCCGCTCGCGCTACGCTTTTCCATCTGCTTCGCTTTTCTCGCCTTATAAGAAATGCGCATAAACTAAAGAATTTGAATAATTAATAACTTATTGGACGTTTTGGCGCGTAGTATTTCTACTCATTGTTTGTATTTTTGACTCATTTGCTGTCTGGTCAAAATACGGCACAACCCATCAAACTACAAGCAAGCTTGCACTTACTGAAATTCACGCACAGCTCAGCATTGTCACGCATATTCACAAATTCAATATGCTCAAATTAGTAATTGGGAAAACATATTTTCTCATGGTAAAATGTTTTGAGGGTTTCGCGTTTTTCCTTCAGTCGTTTCTAAAAATGACACAATTTCCTGCGCAAGTCACGTGTGACGAGTATGTAGACAATGGGATCGATGGCAGCTGCTATATGCGGCAGAAGACCAACGGCGATGGAAAACCCTGCGGAAAGTTGAATCTGGGTCGGCCAGAGTGTCTCTGAAACCGTTATTCCGTAAAAAATGCCCCACGCCGTTACCATGGGAAACAAGATGACGAGTGTGTTGAAGGAGATTTTCAGGCTTAGGAGCAATTCCTTCATGTTATGCACCCCTTCAATACCGCCAAGATCCGCCATCGATCGTTGCTTTGCATTCCAAGCAATTCTAAAGATGCTTAAATGCGTGAGAACCATCACCACAGCCGGGATCACAAAATTGACGGTACTTAACACAGACAAGAATATCTTGTCGGAATTTTCCATCGCGTCCGTGAAAAATCGACTCACACCAATACCCGCCATGGCTAAAGAGTACGCCCAAATAAGGAAAGTAGCGATGCAAGCACGTGACTTTGTAATAATATGTGGGTATTGGAGAGGATAGACAACGGCGCAGTACCTGTCCAAGCTGATTGTCATCATGTTGAGCATCGATGTCGAGAAACACAACACGTCGATATTGATGAGAAGTACGATCAGAATCTTTTCATCGGGTGGATTCCCACGGAGATCGTGTATAATCCATCCTGCGAGAGCCGTCACTAACAGAAGATCTGCAATGGAGAGGTTCAGCACGAAATAGTTGGTAAGGGAGCGCAGCTGACGAAAACGACAGAATCCAAAGCAGATGAAGGCATTCCCAACAAACCCAAGGATGAAAATTAGGATAGACGTTACTATGACAACTTCTCTGTTGACGGTGGGAGGTGGTGATTGGTCGGTTGTGGCAATGATAGTTTTCGTGGGAGTAGCCATGGTAGAATCTTCTTGAGCCTTGTTTCTTAAGATTCTGAGATAAGAGAAAGTGAAAAAAAAATTGTGTTTTCATCGTGAGAATTTGTATATTAACAATCACTACAGGAGGGAGTAAAGGGTCATTTCCCGCAGGTCCCGCAGTGCATGTGACCTCTTCTTTATGACAAAAATAAAACAACCGGGCTTGCAGTCAATGGGTTGTAATGAAGGATCCCTCCCCCCCT